CGTCGCCAGCCCAGTTCTTGTAAAGTGAGGCAGGGTCGAAGTAGGCAGAACACGAACTCTCCATTCGATCGAGCGATCGAGTCTGGCTCTTCTGCCCATTCAAGCTTTGACGGCATCTTTGAAGCCTCGGGGCGCCTAATGTTGATGTTGACGTCGGGATAACTGGCAGATTCAAGAGCGACACCAGACTTTTGTGAACCGGTAGAGGCCACTTGATTTGTGGAAGCCAAGTTCGAGGCCCGCGTTTTGGACTGTGGAGGCGATGGAAAACGAGACAGAGACCGAGACGGGATAATGGAAACTTTGCGAAAGATAGATCGGTTACGAGGAATTTTTTTGTTTCATGATTGTTCAGCTCACTTCCATTTAACGTGAAAGTGTTTGGTGAAGAGATTCGAACTTTGATCCCTCCAGACGACGAGGGCGGATTTCTCTTTACCAGCTTTGCTGAAACATTCTTGGTGACGTTGTTTCTAAATTTATTTCTTACGATTTCGGTGAAAAGGTGCCAAACTTTTGTTCATCGCATGAGCCGTCAGCGAGTCGAAAAGATTGCCTTGGAGACAGCGTAAGCGAGAATGTTCTAGTAGAGTAGATCAACCGCTGGTCAGAAGCAATCTGCCGTCGTCTTTTGGTCGGATCGACTTTCGAATCTGTTCAGCAAAAAGGTTTACTCAAAATGGAAGTCAGCTCAACAAAGACGGAAACTTTGTCCAGAGGAAAGTTCATTGGCATCTTCAGGACTCGAACTCACTTCCCTGCGGCTTATTTGACCAGCTGTTTTTGCGTCTCTTTCACCATCCGGTAGGACGAAAGTTTCAGGGCAGCGCCACTTTTGCAATAAACGGACTCGGATCCCTATGGCCTGACTAGACACGAGAGTCTCAGTCCTTTTATATACGACCTAAACTAGGACCCGAGTAGTATGAAAAGTAGTGTGAATTAAAATTTCGCCAAACTTATAAACCGATTTTAAAATAATCATTCTTTGCTTCCCATCTACTGGTAGTCACGTAAAACAATACTTTATTTAGAAAATATTAGTTTTTATTACTGGTAGTAGTAGTAGTAGTGGTAACAACAGTAGCAGCATCAGCACTGCTCATAATCCCGAATGAGTCGTGTGCATCATAAATTGGAAGAAGGTTGACTTATTTTCAATATAAGCAGATTTCGGTACTTGTTCTTGAATAATGGCTTCTTTATCCTAGGACGCTTAAGCTGGTTTACCAACTGGTAGTTGAAGTTTCTCAAAATAAGATGAGTGAGCACCATGGTAACACTTATTTTCTGAAAAGTATTTTCTACGATGCTCGACTGGGCTGTAATTACATCTTTCCTTGGCGTCATCAGCACCACATCGAAGTTCAAGCCTCACCAGCCACGTTGCCAGTCCACTACACGGCCACATGCGACAGTAGTTTGCACAACAGCATGCATTTTTCATTGAATTCGAGGGCTTACTTATTATCTGCATAAGTAGGCTTCGAAGCTGTGGGTTATTCTTGAGTTAGAACTTGGCTTGCAGTGAAATTCACACCTGCCCTTCGATCCCTTAACACGCTTGACGGTGTGACAAAGTGTGAACCCGTCGAGATGATTCGCAAGACCGAATTTTAGCTCCCTCTAAAGAGATAATGATGACGACTATGATGAAATTGATGGTTATGATGATAAAAGAATAATAAAGTCTAGAAGATGAAACCTCTTTGTAACTTTTGAGAAAAATTCCATAATCTCTTTTGAGGTCACCTTAAGTCGCATAGTGTGATTAGGTTCTTATTAAAGGAGTACTCATTGTCTATAAGTCTACTCATAAACAATATAAGTAATATGAATAAATTTATCTGAGAATATCATCCACTTACTCTGGTGGATAACATTTTGGTTTTGGTGAAATTTCCTAACTCCATTATTGTCTAACTTTTTTTCCTGCTATCTATCCATGCTTGGGTAACAAGTTTACTTTTGTAAAAAGCACGCAAATAAAAACTCATTTCAAAGGACGGACACACACACACACACACCGTAAATGTAACTTTGTCTGGACGATCTGATTCCTGTTCCGCCGGGATATTGGGTCTTGGGGTTGATTGTGGTTCCTGAAAAAAGAATCGAGCAAAAGTGAGCACTGATAAGTGAGTATTTCGCGATCGAATGAGTGGACTTGGGTAGGCCATTGGCTGGGCGAAGAAGTCGGTGCAGAAACGGATGTCATTGGTCTTCTTCTACCAGTCCGTCATCACCTCAAACGAAATTGGGTGAATACATCTCATATTACTGGTTTAAATTAAGTCACAAAAATGAACAAATTTAATATGGGCTGTAGCTGTAATTCTGCTAGCATAAGATTGCATTAATTTGAAGCCAAGTTGTAGAATGCAAGTCTATTTGGATTTTTGGGTTTCAGTTTGACATATTTTTTTCAGTATGCCTTTGATATTTGCATACTACTTATAAATATAGTCAGTATCTAAGTCCCAGCTTCAGGGACCATCTGATGGGCTTAAGAGAGGACAAGATAGAGAGACAAATAGAGAGAGCTTGCGACAGGTCACTCATTTTCAAAGGCATGATTGGCTTTTTCATCTTCTCCTTCTCTTCCCAATAGGCGGCGCCTCGCCCATCTTCAACGACGAAGAGAACTGCTACCGTATCGTGAAACACGACCATATTGCCTATCGTTTCGAGATCCTGTACTCCCTCGGAAAGGGCAGCTTCGGGCAGGTCGTGGCGGCTCTGGACCATCGAAGTGGAGATACCGTGGCCATCAAGATTGTGCGCACGGAGCCTCGCTTCACTCGACAGGTTCGTCTTTTCTCCACTCACCCTATCCCCTCCTGTACCAGACTCGAAGCATCCTTCGGACACAGTTTTGGGTGACTTAATTGCTGTCGGTTTAAATTAATTATTGTTTTCGTGACTACCAGTAAATCAGTAGTATGAGATGTATTCACCCAATTTCGTTTAGGGTAATGACGGACTGGTAGAGGAAGAATTTTGCCACAATGATATGAGTTGAGCTGACGTTTCCAGTGAATTTCACATAGCTCAAATCATATCATTGTGGGAAAATTCTTCTTCTACCAGCCCGTCATCACCTCAAACGAATTGGGGTGAATACATCTCATATTACTGGTTTAACTTAAGTCACAAAGATGATCGAATTTAATATGGGCTGTAGCTGTAATTCTGCTAGCATCAGATTGCATTAATTTGAGGCTAAGTTGTAGAATGCAAGTCTATTTGGATTTTTTGGTTTCAGTTTGACATATTTTTTTCAGTATGCCTTTGATATTTGCATACTACTTATAAATATAGTCATCGGTAGTGTTACTGTTAGCCAGATGGACCGCAACCAAAAACTCAACCGCATGATTGCATCTCCGGTCTCTGCTTAACAACATGTTATCATTCATGGGAAGAGCATAACAAATCGAATGACCCCGTCAAAAGCTTAGATAGAATAAAAAAGTATAATTTTCTTCAGAATACAAATCAGGTTAAGATTAATGGATGATTTTCCAATATAGAGCGGAGTATAAGTAGTATTCGGTCGGTCTATAAGTTAAGCAAAAATAAAATAAAAATCAGATTTCTACTCATATTACTTATGAAGCGTGTGAGTAGTATCACTTTTGCTGTCGCATAAGCTTCTGACCATACCGGTATTAGGACAATTGGCGTGTCTATATTAGGACTTGCATTGTGTGCATTCCTTTGAGTTCACCTCAGACAAGGTATTTTGCCGCTTTTTAAGCGAGACGGCGTTACGTTCTGGCGTCGCCATGTTTAGCTCCCAGCCGAACGTCAGCACCGAGGCGGGGAGAAAGCACGGTCATTGTGTCGAATCGGCAAGTCCGTCGGATAGATACAGACAAAAAGGGTTGGGGCCAATTATGAAGAGGTGTCTGCATCGGCCCACGCCCCGCCAACTAGGCCTCTTCGAGAAGGACTTTGCAGACAACATCTGCATCCCGCTTCATTACATCCGCTGCACACACATTCACACTATTCTGCACATTTCTAGGCAGACCTGGCCAAATATTTTCCTCTCTGGTCAGCTTGATCGCTATTGAGTCCGCAATCCGAAAGACTGTTTGTACGTGTATGTGCATGTGTATCTGTCCGTGTGTGTGTGGGTCTGTGTGTGTGAATGCGTGTGAGCATACAAGAACTAGACTTCTTTTAGACCAAATATGGGCAAATGCCATTGTTAGGCAGCTCCAACAGAGGTCGAAATAAACAAATTGTTCTAGAATTTCAATTCTGCAGCTCGAGATACTCCCAGCAAAGCTCCAGAGCTCGAGTCCCCTTGTCTGCATTCTGTCAGTCCTCTGTTCCAGTCGGCCTGTTAAAGGCATGCAAACCAGAGCCGAAGTCGCAAATTTACGTCACCAAGACGACCACCTCGAAATGGCAACAAGCAAACTTGGCCAAACAAACTTGCCCAGAAGCCTGTCTTCTGTCAAGGAATTTGGGTGCTCTTCTGGCATCGGACCGATGACCAATCAGGTGCTTTGGTGCACTCCACTTTGGCACAATTTCGTCCATTAGGCAACTTTACGAAAGGGAAGAAGGGAGAAGGAAAGTCATAGCAGGACCACGGACAAGAGAGATGTGCTTATCTACGATTGTCAGCTCAAAAGAGTTTCAAACACTCTTAATATCTGTCTCTCTGCTGCTGTTGCTGACTGGCGTAGTTGGGAGCAACGTCTCAACGGTTATCTACACGGCGCAGTTTAGGGAGGATCACATGCTACCACATTTTG